TGACTTTTCTTTTTCTTTTTTCTAACTTGATCAGATCAAGTCGAAACAATGATATATCACAACAACGCCGATTAATTGGTTCGGAGTGATGTATTATTTCATTGCAAAGTATTACAACGATTTGTTGTGAGTATTTGACATTTCTATTAGTTCCATCATAATTATCATCACTATTGCTATTAGCAAATCTACATTCGAACTGATTAAGTCTGAATTCGTTACTGATCATCTCATTTGACATGCTTCAAAAATTTGAAGCGCTAACATGCGTGAAAAGTGCATATCACAAATGCTTTCGCGAAAATGATTATAAATTTTCTCGTAGCATGTCAACAACTGATGTTTTTGCTGCAGCTGTCTCATCGAGTCTGATTAATGGGATGATTCTGAATGAGAAAATAGGTTCGTTCGGAGGAACGAACAACTGAAGTGATTGAGCGATAAATGAGGTGATTGAGAAGTTGGAAGCAATTAATTGAGATTGACATAATAAAGAGCAGCAATAAAACGTTTAATTGGGAACAAATGAAATGTTGAAGTTAGGTGTGTGTAACAGTTGGGGCGAATAACAAAGTTTAGATTTTTCAACATGAGTAAAGAGTCGGATTTCGAATGAATTACGGATTGAATATGAAAAGAATTGATGAAATTATCCGAAAGAAAAAACATTTGAGAAAGTGCATCAAACAAACTGATCAGCGAACACAACAAATTGAATTTTCATGGAGCAAATAATTTAGTCACGAGCTGCTATATTTCGTCGAACTAAAGCATTGTTTAAAATGATATACTGATCTCATTGATTCTTTTCAATTCATATTCTTGTTGGTAAATCTTCCAATCGTATCACTTTCTTAAGTTGGCTTTGTTCAAGAATATAGACAAACAACGAGTAATTTTGAAGATCGTAGGCGCTAATATCAAATCAATTCGAATTACAGTAGAGAAACTGTTCAAAACATTTGCTTTATCCGTTCGATTTTTCACTCTGAGTAAAGATATTGAAAGATTTGCAATCCGCACGAGTCGTATTAGATGGTTATATTCGATGTGAATCTTTTGAGAAATGGAAATGCAGCATTCATTTTGTAAAACAATGCGTGAAGAGGTCTGCTTTTTTGATACCAAAAATACTTCGGGTATTGACATGAGTGGTTTTATCTAAACAGTATTGTTTATGTAATGGAGGTTATCTTGATTTGGGAATTTGAAATCAAATCAGTATTCTCACATGGATAAATACAGCAAAAAGAACTTGTCTCGTAACTCACTCACAGAGCACTAATTATTCGGAAGCAAATGATGCGTTCTAACGATGGAATGTGTGCTCAAGGATATGTATGTATGCTCATCTCTTCATGGAATAAATAACAGTTCGGTGATTACGTGCTAACAATGTGTGAAATGAACAGAACATTCAGAATGCTAATACCTCCTAAACGAACGAGAGCAGACGCAATTGGAAATTATTTATTATGTGAAGAGCAAGGTGATGAAGATCGATTAAGGCGTACTGTTGATCACATCAATAAGAAATCAAAAAGCAATCGGATATTTTTAGGAAACAGCTAACTGATTACGAGTTCTTCGATCTTATTTATTGCTCGAATACCACTGAAATCAGGAATCATTTGAGCCGTTTCAATCACTCACTGAAAAATGAATATAACGCATTTCGATAATGGAAAATAATTTCATTGCGTCATTCCATTGCGTAAATAAGTATCAAACATTTTTGGAATGCAAATGACGTGTGTTCCTAGGATCAGCAAGAATCGTTACTAATTCATCGTGAGCGAGATTCAGATAGGATAACAAATGAGTCGACTGGTTGGAATTCGTGCGAATTGCACGAATGTTTGCATGATGCGTATAAGTAGATTTATATTTGTATGCTTGTGAATGAAGCGTCGTGGTGAATTACGCTTGATCGGAATAATATCACATTTTCATCTGCGTGTTGTTTATCCACGCCGTGACGATTTCTCCATAATTGCGTGCCTAACGAGGTATGCCTCAACTATCGGTTCTCGATTAATCTCGACGCAAAATTCAATATTTCCACTGCTCTATTCGCGTGCTAGATTCATTAACGAAATAAGATAAATACACTAAACGCATTAATCACATTCATTAGCGAAATAAGATAAATACACTAAACGCATTAATCGCTTGCTGAGATGCTGGAAAGATCAGATTATGGAGGCCATAAATAAGACGAATTGATGCCGCATTAACAGATATAATATATCAGCAAAACAACGAACCACTGAATTGTCTCGTTCGACTAGCCATGTTCTAAAGCTGGTTCGTTAAAACACTATAACAACATAAAGTGTCGATTAAGCTGGATAAGTGTAATATTCTAATTGTAATATTGTGATTAAATTGTAGTTGTAATATTGTCGAAAGCATTGTAATCAGTTTGAAAATCCGAAGATTTACACACCTAAGAAAGTTCAAGGGAACTCGAATCTATTGGGAATATATTCTCACGGATCGCATCGTGCCCGGCCATACAAGTGCATTTCAGCAATTTTACGCCAGTAAATTTTTGTTCGTTAATCGCATTCGTCTTCCATACAGCATTTATGCCAAAGATATTGGTTAAGAAATTGTCAAAGATGTTGGTTCAAAGCATGAATTCATTTCCAACTATAAGTTGTTATTTCACGGCTGCTGCGGTCAGAATAGATATGCATTATAAGTTTTGTGATCGATTTAGTGTTCTAGGAATGAAGCACATTTCAGAAATTCATTTATGCGCGTCACGAGAAATTTTAATTTCGACCAATTTGAGAGCGTAGAAAGAATGAACTGAAGTTTGAAAATGTAGTTGATGATTGGTTTGTTATCTCTAAACTAATATTCGAAATTATATTATATCAGGCGTTAAATAACCGTCAAGTGACTGGTGCAGAGTGGTATATTGACGAAACCCATTCCATATTTTAGCAAAAATGTTATCGAATCGTCTGTTACCACATTGGTATGCATGCAGTGTAATACTTCTTGTTAACAAGCCTTCCAGGGAATCGACGAATGAATTCTTCATTATATACATTCGTGATTGTTTGTGCTGAGCTAGATTTGGTTCGAATCAAAGGGTTCACTCTTCGAAATATGAGTGAACATACATGCTTGAGCAGAGATTTATCAGATTATCGAGTTGATGTATCCTCATATGTCAATCAACTGCTCCGATTTTCTCATCAT